GATCAGGCAAGCTCTCAGGGCCTCAAGGGAACCAGGCGAGGCAAGATCCCTAAGGCGCGTCTAAGGCGGTCACTTTTCTCGCCTCAATTGCTGCCTCAGGCGATGGCCTAGCTTGCCTTTCATTACTATATGCATATTTTGTGTTCCTCTGACAATTATCTAGTGTTTAAGGTTTTAGGATATACATTGCATAATATTTATTGTTATATATTACTCCGTAATATATATGCACACTCACACACATATGCATGTATGTATTTATGTATGTACGTTCGCCATTTGACCGCCCGCCTCTCACCTCAAAAAAGGTCCTCTCGTCTACCCCTCACCTCTAGCCTTTAATAGCTCTGCCTAGAATAGAATATTCTTAACAAATAAAATCAAAGATCTCAGTGGAAATTACTCTTTGGGTGCAGAAGTATTGATGTTATATCTAATGTAGCTAATGGAAGCCAACCTGAGAAAAAACGGGATAAGAAGAAGAACAAGAAGACGAAGGTTGCAAAGGATGGAGCCAGTAGTGTGATTGACCAGGATAAATGTGTTGATCAATGCAAAAATATCAGTAATGACGATGTTGTTGAACAGATCAAGCAAATTATTGAAGCAGTCGAAATGGACACGTCTTTACTGCCAACAACTAAACAACATGAAAGTCTGACTACTCGGTCAGTTTTTCCTATATTAATTTTTTCGAAACAATCTGGTTGCAAGCTCTAAAGCATAACTACATTGTTTGTAGTGTTTACTTGCAATGGGTTGATTTTATGTATTTGACTCTCGATACTTTTTAGAGTGAATCTACTTTGATTTGTAAGTATGTACAATAAAGGAAGATAATCATATGTTTCTTAATAGATTATAATGCTTTTTGGATGCAGTATAAACGATGTAACTTCTGATGTAGCTGATGGATTCCAATCTGTGAAGAAACATAGTAACAAGAAGGCCAAAGTTGGAGATGATGGAATGAGTAGTGTGCCTGAGGCTGATAGTACAATGAATGGAGTTCTCCCTCCATCCCCCAATGTACGATACATTTGGATTTGACACAAGTTTTAAGAAAAATAAGAGATACTCGTTTGCCATTTTAAACTTTTAAAAGAAAAGTAAATGGATCCTTTGGAAGTATGAAGGTGGAAGGATATACAAGGATAAAATGGTAATGTGAAAATTTAGTGTAGAAAATTACATAAGGAAAATGAACATAGTTTTGGGACTGATTGAGAAGAAAAGTTTATTTTGACAAAATGGGATTGATGGTGTAATTGTTAAATTTTAGGACAAGGGCACGGATCCAGAGTCAGGTCAATCTAGGAGCTTTTCAAATGGATTGATAGTTGAAGACCTTGCAAAGGGTAATCCTGATGGAAGAGTTGCTACTACAGGAAGAAAGGTAATTCTTTTTTTTAGGAGATCTATCTTTAAGTGTTGCATAACAATGAACTATGCATTTGGCACGCTTCATGTGACATTGAACTCAATGTCATAGGATGACCCGAGCCTCCTACGGTGCTCCGTTTAAAAATTGATGGTTCCTACCCCTTCTAAATCCCTTGCCCCCCTCCCCTTTGCCGATTGGCTCCAGTGAGGCGAAGGGGGTGCATGCGGTAGGAACCATCAGTTTTTCGAATGGAGCACCAAAGGAGGCTCGGGTCATGCTATGACATTGTAGAGCAATGCCACATGAACTGGCCCACTATGCATTCGCCTGCTTTTAATTAGTGTATTGGAAATTTTGTGAATAAATCTTGTGCAGGTGAAAGTTCACTTTACTGGCATGCTATGGGAGAATGGGCACACTTTTACCCCTTCAGGAGCTACTTTCAGATTTTGCCTTGGTAATTGTTATGCTCAAGCTTAAATGACATTTATATCAAAACACTTTTTTTCTTGTTGCTCACAGTTCTAATCTTTTGAAGGTGATAAAGGTGTACTTCCTGGATGGAACATTGGTATTGAAGGTGAACACATACGAATCTCTGGATTTCTTGGACAACTGTTTGCCCATAACAATGTACTCATCTTACCCTTTTGGTTACTATGATAACAGGTATGCGTGTTGGCGACAAAAGGAGGCTTACCATACCTCCACTATTGGGGTATGCATCATCTTTCCTGTCCTCCTAAACCTCTAGCAAAACAAAAGTCTTGGTCCAAAATCTGTGTATATATGCTTTATGCCACTCTTCTATTGTCTTGAGTTTTTATACTTGTACATTTGAGTGCGAAAAGAGCAACCCAGAAGTAAAACATTTCTTCCAATTACATTGCAGTTATGGAAGTGAAGGATTTGGGGAGCAAATACCGCCCAACTCGTGGTTGGTCTATGACATTGAGTTGGTATCTGTCCATCGCTGATTTTGAAGGTGGGTTTTTGAACTTTAAACGCTTCGGATGTTGCATACAAGTTTGCTTTTTGGCACATGGAAATATCCCTCCAATGCGGACAACTGCAAGGTTTTTTTTTGGAAAGTTTTGTTTCGAGTTCTCTCCCTATAATCAAGGGAAAACATATCTTATCTATGTAAATGAAGTTTTACGCATTCGAATTGCAAAAAATGTTGTATCATCGTTCCTGAAGCAAACTAAATGTAGAAGCAATCAAAATTGCAAAAACTTGTAGTATTATGCACTATTGAAGCTTGCAAGTCCATTTTTTTCAGATGAGAGATCTTGTTTTTGTTACTCTATTAATGAGAGTGGCAATCGAAGTTAATTTACTTGGCGAAGAGTTTTATTAGATATGATTTTGGCTTAGATATGTGATACTCCTTCCGTCTCATATCTTTTTCTTATTTTCCTTTTGGAGTCGTCCCATGTGTTTCCCCGTTTCTTAAAATGAAAATAAAAGGCTACTAAAGGACTATTTTACCCTCTCCATACTTTCACCCTTTTCCGTAACTCTACCTCATTTCTCTACTATATCCACCATTTTTTCCTCTCTAATTTTCTTCTCTCCAAAGCGCACCAATTCACACCCAAATTGAAACCATCCACCCACCAATACTCATCCGCCGTCAGGGAAGGAGCAACGACGAAGCGGCGTGGCAAATCTCAATCTTCTTTTCTTCGATAAGGTGAAAATCTTAGATTTTTTTTCTTTTTTCTTATTTATCTTCTTTTCTTCATCTCATCCATTGATTTAATTTCCTTGAGTGGGATGGGCTTCACTTTTGATTTCACTAGATTCGTACCCGTGCGATGCACGGTAAGAAATTCAATCAATAATTTATTTACTAATATTCAAAAATAATCAATAAGTACATTATTTCATAAATATATGGAGTACTTAGTTTGTACCAAAAAAATATTTCTTGGTAAGAAATAAATGGTGTGTTATTGATGGTCTACAAATACAAATCACTAAAGAAAGTAATTACAAAAATTAAAAAACCATCCTAACAGTCCCAAGAACTCAGCCTTGGGAATGGAGACTCATTTTTTATCACAAAAGATATACTCCGTAATTCTTAAAGAAAACAAAACTATAAAGATTGGATCTTCAAAGCATCAAAGATATTTTTTTAGCAAAAAGCTAAGAAAGAAAATATGTTCATTTCTCATCAAAGTAAATCCAAGAAGGCCTAAGAACTGGATTACTGGCATCAATATGTTACTTGAGATTCAAAAATTTAGGGAATATAGATAGGACACATATTATAGTATTTTGGAATAGGTGAATGTTCTTTTTTTTTCTCTCTTTTCATCTATGATATACTTCAATATGCGTTGAAGATACTCCATAACATCTTTAGATAAAGGAGCATAAAGAGTAAAGTGAACAACACAAAAAAACAGAAACATCACAAAAGCTTTTGAAGGCAGTAAGAATGGCCAATGTCAGATTACATTATCACGGGGATGGATATCTTCTCTCTTAGGAAAACTTCAGGTTAGTGTTTCTTAATTTCAACCTGAAAGATAGCCCTTTAGTACTCTGTGTGATTTTAAAATACATGCTTTGCATGATTACTTGAACCC